GTGGAGGGCAGGCGCAGGAGGGGAATGCCCTCTGGGACGCGGATTGACTCAGTGACTGGGGCAATTGGGATGAGTGGATTGGAGACAGTGCGATTGACACAGGACAGAGCAGAGTTTAGGGCTGTTGTACATAGGGTCGCTATGAGTCACAAGCAACTCGATGGCACATAACAACAACAACAACAACAGTGGCAACACAAGTCACCACAATATGAATTACTACCAGGAAAATGGTGGATTTTTAGTGCATTGGGGTTGAGGGAAGGCAGAGAAGAAGGGGAGGAATGACGTACACTGCATTGCAACAGATGAGGGAGAGAACTGTTTACAAGTGATATGTTGGTATTTTTTTTTTAAAAAGCCCCAAAAAAAGTGATATATGATTAGGTATTACTGTCATGACAGTAATCTTTAAAGCTTTACTGTGTAGTGGGCTTGAGGGGAGGGACTGCATAGCAATGAAAGAGTTTTTGTTTTACTCATCAAGGAGAAATGTGAGTGGGCGTGAGGGGTTGGGCAGGGAGAAAAGCGCAACAATGAGTGACTAGAAACCCTAAGTCGCGGTACACTTTCATTAAAATTAATAAAATTAATTAAAACTATATAACACAAAAGCCCTGAAGACCTAAACTGAGCATTTCTTCAGATTAAGATGAAAGGAAAACCACATCCCCTGAAAAGAACTTTCCCACCCTTACCCTCCAAACATATACCTCTGTTTGTTGTTTCCAGAGCACTCACTGCAGCCTCATTCTCTATCTGAAGGGAGTTTTTTCCTTAGTACACATTGACTTCCTCTCACTGTGTCTCTTGCACAGTAATACAAGGCTGCATCCTCTGGTTTCAGACTGCTCATTTGCAAATAAGTGGTGCTTTTGGAGTCGTCTCTTGTGATGGTGAATCTGCCTTTCACAGAAGCAGCATACTCTGTTGTCTGACCATTAGCTTTGTTTCTAATGAAACCAACCCACTCCAGTCTCTTTGCTGGAAACTGACGGAGCCAGTGCATATAGTAGCCACTGAAGGTGAACCCAGAGCCTTTACATGAGAGTCTCAGGGACCCCCCAGGCTGTCTCAGGTCTCCACCAGACTCCACCAGCTGGACCTCACACCGGACACCTGCAAGTACAGAGACAATGGGATTAGATAACACATACTTTCTCTCTCTCTCTCTTTCACACACACACACACACACACACACACACACACACACACAGACTCATAGGATCCCCATCTTTATCAAAAATATTACCATATAAAAGGGCCAGAGTAAAAATCCAGCTCAGCCCAAATTTCATGTTCTTTAATTTAACTACTGTGCACAAAATGGGGAGAAAAAGATAGAGGGAAATGAAATGCTCCCCAGGAATTGGGGTTTCTTAATCGGAGCTGACAGGACATGAGCTCTGTGGGTTTTATCAGCAGAATGAGTGCTGCATTTGCATGTCATTTTCCAGTTATAAGCAGTGGAATAAAGTTCCTGGGCAGAGTTGTGTCTGTGCCTCAGAGAAAAAGACACAGCAGGTTTTACGAATGTTTTTTAACTGCATGATATAAAGTCATTGCTGCAGTTGTTGTTAAATGTTATGACCTTTTAAAGCAGTTTTTAAACTACAAACGTTATTTTACAAAACTTTTGTGATGTGAGAACTTAGAATGCAACTTCTCTGCATCCTTAGAATTTTGGTGCAGAGTCTGATTACTATTTGCTCATGTCAACATGATAGTCAAGGATTGCTCTGCTTGGATATTTTGGGTGCACATTATTGTTGGTTTCACTCACATGAAATCCTCCCATTTTGCATGTGTGTATTTGTTAGGTGCTTTCTAGTCAAGTACAGGTCATATTAACCCAATGAACTACAGATCTGAACCTGGCCCTCCATACAGCATCCTCAAGCTCATTGTTGGAATCACTGTCTCAATCCACTTTGTTGAAAGTCCTATACTTTTTTGTTAATCTTTCCCAGCTTTATGTCTTTTTCCAATGACCAGCCTCTCTCAAATGATGTCAAAGTATGTAAGACAAAGTTTCACCAACCTGGCCTTTAAGGAGAGCCTTAACTATGCTTCCACTATGATAAAGTTGTTTTTTCTTTGGCAGTTCTAGAAGAATCAATATCCTTTCCCAACACTGTAATTCAAAGACAATGAGACAGACTAGGGAGCAAGACTAGCCATCCATTTATGAAGTAACAAGCCTTGGAAAACCTTATGAACAACAGAGAAAAACAAGGAGCTATAGTTTTAGAGATAGAGTTTAGATGAGAAGAGATCACACAAATATGAGAAGAAATGACTGCAACCTACCATTAATGATTGGAATGTGAAACGTACAAACTATGAATGTATGAAAACTGGAAGTTGTCAAAATAAAATGCAAAGAATAAAAATTGACTTTCTAGGAATTAATGGACTAAGCTGACTAGCATGTGCCACTTAGAATCAGACAGTCATATGATCTACTAAGCAAAGAATAAAAAAATTGAGCAAGATAGTGTGACATTCATAAAGAAAAGGACAATTTGAAAGTGTAACACAACATAAAATGTTGTAAATGACAAAATTGTATCCATGGGCATACAAGAAAGACCTGTTAATACTGCATTATTCAAATAAATGCACCAATAACCAGTCAAAGACAAGGAAATTGAGGATTTCTGCTAACTTGCAGTCAGAAATTGATCATGCATTCAACCAAGATGCATTAGTAATCAATGGAGACTAGATAAAAGTTGGAAAAAATCACACAAAGGAAGTAGTCTGAAAGTACAGACTTGATGAAACCAATAAGGCAGGAGAGTGAATGATTGAATTTTATACACTCAATGATTTATTAATAAAAAATACTATTTTTAAGAAACAAGCATGATGTCTTTACACACATACCTTACTTAACAGTCTTCACAGGAATCAGACTGACTACATCTATGGAAAGAACAACTGAAAAAGCTAGATACCAGGAGTCAGAACCAGGCCAGATGTTAACAGTGGAGCAAACCATCTAGTACACATGTGGAAGTTCAAATTGAAGCTGAGGAAGATTAAAACAATACACAAGAAGCAAAACACTACCTCGAGTCTGTGCCACCTGAATTAAAAAAAAATTAATATCATCTAAATAACAGGTTGAGGCATGGTTCACCATTGATCAGAGACCAGAGGAGCTGTGGACCGAAATCAAGGATACAAGGGAGCAAAGGTCATTATAAAGTCAGAGAAGAGGGGGAAAGCCAAAATTCATGCTAGAAGAAGCCATGAAAATGGCATTTGAGCATTGGAAAGCAAAAACTAAAGGAAGAGACATTGAAATAAAAGAGGTGATTTCAAAGGACAGTTCAAAAAGACCAACCATTATAATGAAATATACAAACAGTTGGATTTAGAGAATAAAAAGGGAAGATCTTATTCAGCATTTCTCAAGAAAAGTTATTGGAAAAACAAAGTCAAGCCTCTAGTTAAATACTAAAAGATTCCATGAGAAAAATCTTGAATTATACAGGAAACATCAAAAGAAAATCAAAGGAAGACACAGTCATCAAAAGAATGGATCAACACTCAAAACTTCAGGACGTATAATGGGAGCAAGAGCCAATGGTAACAACAAAAGACGTTCAAGCTGTTCTGAAGACACTGATAAAATATAAAGCTCCAAGAACAGATTAGGATACCAATGGACCTATTTAAACTAACAGATGCAACCCTAGAAGTGCTCACTAGTCCAGGTCAAGAAGTTTGAGGACAGCTGCCTGGATGACTGAAAGAGATTTATATTTGTTCTAAATTCCAAGAAAATTGTTCAAAAAGACTGTGGAAATTACTGTACAATATTATATACAAGCAAAAAAATTGTTGAAAATAATCCAAAAATTAACAAAACAGTACTTTGGAAGAGAACTGCCAGAAGTTCAAGTTGCGTTGAAAAAAGAGCGAAATGTCAGAAATGTCTTTCTGTGTTTTAATGAGTACGCAAAGACATTTGACTGTGTGGATCACAACACACTAAGGCTAACATTTAGAAGAATAGAAATCTTAGAACAATTAATTTCACTCATAACGAAACTGTTTTCTGAATGGAACAAGGGCATCTTTTGAAAAAGGATACCATCCTTGGAAAGGTGAAGGGTCAGTCAAAATGAGGAAGACCCTCAATGAGCTAGAGGAACATAGTATCTGCAACAATATGCTCAAGCGTGTCAGAGTTGATGAGGATGTTACCTGATAGGACTTGGCTCCACCCTGTTGTTCATATGGTCTCTTTGAGCCACACTTGACTATATGGCAGCTAACAAAAACCTGTTCATAGCAGCATTATTCACAATAGCAAGAAAATGACAATCTAAACACTCACTAAAAAAATGAATATATAGAGAAACTGTGGTTTAGCCAAACAATGGAATGCTATGGAGCACTAAAGAACAATGAAGTTATTTGTAAAATATGATACAACACGGGAGAATCTAGAGCACAATATTGTTGTTGTTGTTGTTGTTATGTGTCATCAAGTCGCTTGCGACTCATAGCGACCCTGTGTACAATAGCCCTAAACTCTGTTCTGTCCTGTACCAATTGCACTGTCTCTGACACGCCCATCCCAATTACCCCAGTCACTGAATCAATCCACCTCATAGAGGGCCTTCCTTTCCTGCGCTGTCCCTCCACCCTCCCAAGCATGATGTCTCTCTCCAAGGACCCTCCTTACAACATGACCAAAGTATTTCAGATGAAGCCTCAGAATCCATGCCTTCAAGGAGCTGTTCAATTTAGCCCTCCCCAGGATGAATCTGTTTGTTGTCTTAGCAGTCTATGGCACCATCAGTACTCTTCTCCAGCATATTTAGTAAAATAATTTAATCAAAAAAAGAAACATACCGCATGCGATTGCTACTATGAAAATAGGAGGGAAACTGAGGGATTGGAGGAGGAGGAGAACAGAAATAGAATGTTTAGACAAAGAACTGTAGGACCAAGACAAAGGAGGATCAACCTGAATAAGGATAATAGGCTAAGGCAATTAACAAATAAGAACAACACATGCATAATTATTTCAAGAGGAAGGGGAGAAAAGGTGTGAAAGAAGAAAGGGGAAATAACTAGGAGGGCATAATTTAGGGGGCTGATGGAAGTGTGAAGGAATAGGCAAGATGCAATGGGGAGTTGATAGAATTGGAGCATAAAAGTCATAGATCAATAGTAATTAATATATGAAGTACTCTGTAAAGAAATGGTTGTGCAAAACAATATGTACATAAATAAAACAAGCATATGAATGTTGTGTAAAAGTGAGTGAGTGCACAAATCATATTGAATATGAAAGAAACACAAAGGGAATGTGGAAGGGGGAAAGAGCTCAGAAAAAACCTAGCAGAAATCCAGGATAGTGAGAAGTGGATAGTTGAGGCATGTAAGCAATGGGCAGGTTGCAGTGGGCATCCTTGAGATAAGGTGATGAGAAGGAGGAATCAATAATAATTAAGCAAAATATAATGTATGTGAATGATTGCATAAAACACAATGAATGAAATATATGAATGAAACACAATGCATATGAATGATGAAACACAATGTATATAAATGATTATATGCACACCAATAAATACATTATTTTTAAAAAATAAAGTATCAAGGGATACAGAAAAGAAGGAAGAAGAGAGTGAGAGTGTTAGTTGTTGGTTCTATGTATTGTCCACTAAGAATCAGCTCATAACAACTCAAAATAATAGTGGTTTTCTGAAGCAATAAATTATACAGGACAAAATTATCTCTTTTTCACAAAACAATAGGTGGAATTGAACTGTATGCTTTTGGATTGGCAGTGCAAATCTTGTACCAAGCCACCAGAACTGCCTATGAAAAATTGTCCAGAGGGAATTTTCGGGAGGAAAATTTTCATATCACTACAGGGGAAACCATCCTTTATATCACATCGGCACTTGCTCCTGGGTATTAATTCTGTGCTTTAGGCTCCCAGAGAGAGGCTTCTGTCTGAGTTCACACTGACTCCCCCTCACTATGTCTTTTTGCACAGTAATACATGGTTGAATCTTCAGCTCTCAGACTATTCATCTCCAGGTATAGAACAGAGTGTTCATGACATTGTCTCTGGAGATGGTGAATCGACACTTCATGGAGTCTGTGTAGCATGTGCTGCCAGCCCTAATACTAATTTGCAAGACCCACTGCAGCCCCTTCCCTGGATCCTGGCGAATCCAGTACATGGGTTAGCTGCTAAGCCCAGAGGGTGCTCAGGAGAGCTTCAGAGAATCCTCAGACTTTCTCAGGTCTCCTCCAGACTACAAATTGCACCTCACACTGGACACCTGCGAGCATGGTGATGATCTGGTCAGAAAAATCATTGTACATGTCCATTGTTTCAATCATGCTCACTCACATATAATGTTCTCTATAAAATTACCTTTTAAAATACCAACAATGAAGATCCAGCTAAGTACAACCACAGTGATTCATTTGTGTTCAGCCTAGTTCCTGAGTGAGGACACCTGAGATTTTGAGACTCTCCTCCCAGAGTTGCTTGGTTAGGGCAAGGCTGGTTTTCATCAGCAGGAGAAAGGGCCCTATTTGCATGTGCTCCTCCTTTATATTAGAATTCTGTGGAGTGGCATGCCTCTGCATGGTCATACTCTACAGGAGACAGAAGTGTTTAAGGGTGTTGCGGAGGACTTAAGAATAATATTCTGCTTTTTTAAAAAAATAATAGTTTTTTATTACCATTTCAGTGAAAGTTTTCAGAGCATATTTATTTCCCTTTCAACAGTTTTTCTACTTTTTGTTTGAAAAGCTGATTAAAATCCCCTCTTTGTAACTAAACTTCCTCCCTGTGATTCTGGATTCTATCCATCCTTCTATCTTATTTTTTCCTGCCTTTTGAGCCTTATGCCTCAGAAAGCTCCGCCTTTTAATCTTGTGTACTTTCCTGTTGTTATTGTTTGTCTGAAAGTTGAGCCACAAGAGTGGGTTCAGTCTAGATGCAAAGAATTCGTATTATGTTGATAGATGTCCATGACCCATCTGCCTCTATTAGCCAATTGAGTCTTGCCACTTGTGAATTTGAGTTTTGTTTCATATTTGTCTCACATTTTATCCAATATGATCTAATGTGATCCCTTTCACAGTGGTCATAAGTGATGGACAGGTGCCACCTATTTATTCTGTCTTTATGATCACAGAATATAGTGCTATTGCACTATTACTATTATGGATTAGGTGCTTCACGGTGACATTAATTTTATTCATTGTTCTTTGTTCTAGAAAAGAACAGGCCTTTAGTCACATCTTAGATAATCACTAGGAAGTCTTAAGAATCCAGTTAAAACTTACCAGTGTGAGATTTAGAAAATCTCCAGAGACTATGATCCTGAGGCCTCCTGGGACCAGAGAGACTCATTCCCTTAGAATGTCAGGTTACAATGAAGACATTTGCATTAGGCTGCCCCCTGGTGACTCCATTTATGTAGAACATCTACAAATACACAGAAATACTGACACCCAATCATAGGTAGGATCATGAGTTTAATCTCTTTAACTTTCTCAAATTGCTCATCTTTCCATCTGCTTTTGTTGGTTAAGTGTTTGTAATTATAGATAACATGGAATTTGTCTGTATTCTTTGTTCAACTCTGTGGTTTTCATTTCTTCCATATAGAGCTTCATTCCCTTCATCCAAATTGATAAGTGTTTATTTTCAAATTAAGGAACATTGATTGTATAGTGTGTAACATGCTGAGATGCTAACTGAAATGTTGATGGTAAAAATTCATCAGTAGAAAAATGAGGCTGTTTGTTATCTCCTGCAAAATTTTAAACCTCAGAAACCCAAGAGCACCTCCATGAGTTGGAATCAACTTTAGAGAATTGGATTGTTATCTAATGATGCATTTCTATCTCCTTTCTCCCTACCCTCGTATCCCTGGTAGCCATTAAAATATTTTTTCTTCTGTGTGTAAACATTTCCTTAACTTTTCATTGTTGTGGACTCATCTATATTCTTTTAAGATGAATAAACTAATTAAATATCTTTCCCCAAATTAATCCATGTTGTCGGTGTTTTGTAATTCCTTAATTGTTCTTAAATACTGTGTAATGTTCCGAGGACAATCTCCTCCTGCAGAATTAACTGCTTCTGACAGCCTGAGGTAGAGTCAGCTATGGATTAATTCCAACTTGAAGGTACACAGCAACAATTTATCTATTCATCCATTGATGGACACTATTGCTATTAGGTTGTACAATACTTTTAAGAACATGAAATATACGAGTGTGCTTATATTTGTTTGTATCATTTGGAAGCAAAGATGGTAAAGCTTCATAACAAAAGCTTGGTTGTGGGCTTAGTGAGTTGATAATAACATCTTTTCATACCAATTACTTAACTCCATGGGAGATTGTTATCATATTTTTACAAATATGGTAGGGTTTGGGTTGTGGGTTTTTTGTGTTGGGTTTTTCCCCCAATATGCTGTTACACAATTAGCTATTAAACTAGATTTGTGTGTGAAACTAAGTGTTGTCAAATGAAATTGTATAAGTCAAAATCGCTAGTCAAAACCATACACACATGCAAAAGTCTCTGAAGATTCTTATAGGAATCTTGGAAATCCTTAGAACAAGCTTTGCTGTTGTTGTTGTTTTTTTTGTTGTTGTTTTTGTTGTTGTTGCTGTTGTTGTTGTTGGTAAGTGCCGCCAAGTTGTGGATGACTCACAGCGACCCTATGAACCAACAAAAGACCTGAACACTTGTATAACTTTGGTCATTTCTCCATGTTCAACCCAAGATTTATTGTCACCTTCCTGGACCTTCTGCTCATTTATTCTAATGATAATAAATATCAGTGACCATAAACATTTTGAAGGTACAGAGGTTTGCAAACCACTGAAATGAAAGCACACATCACTCAAATTAGAACAGGAGGTCAAATTTCTAATTTGAGAATTACTTGCAAAATAGCAAAAACGTTTTTAACAATTGTAGCTTCCTTGACTCCACAATTAACACTCTTAAGTCCAACAGTCAAAAGATGAATTGCATTGGAAAAATCTGCTGTCAGAGACCTCTCCAGAGTGCTATAAAGCAACTATGTCAGTCTAGAGACTAAGATGCACCTAATCTAGACCATGGTCTTTGCAATTACTTTTTATGCTTCAGAGAGCTGGACAATGAATGACTAAGGATGATAGGAGGAGAATAGATGTCTTTGAATTGAATTGTGGTGCTGAAGAAGAGTCTTGAACATACCATGGACTGCCAAGAAAACAATATGTCTGTCTTGGAGAGCATGAAACCAAGTTTTTTGTTAAAAGCTCAATCTCTTCTCCATCTACTATGGTACTGCTAATTGGCCCAGTGGTGGGAATCTTTCTTTTCCTGATGTTGAGCTCCAATCCATATTTTTTTACATTTTCTACTAGTTTATTTACAAAATTTGAATACATTGGTTTGGGGTTTTTTGGTTGGGTTCTTTTTTTTTAATTTCCATTCATTCATTGTTGTACTATTCTTTCCTCCCAACCCTCCCCCATAGTAAACTACTATCTTGGAAAAGTAAAAGAAAAATTATTTCATTGTTTTCAAACCCTCCCCCAGGTCCACTCTACTATGCAGCCTTCGCTCTGGACTCCCTTCATGACAAATACACCTAATTATATATCCCTTTTAAACAGTTTGCTCCCTCATCTGTTTTCAATGCAGTATACATTATTGAAACCATCTTTCTCAGTCTCCCCCCAAACCTGATGTCAGTCCTGTTTTGCAACAGTGGTACCATGAAGTATTTGTCCTTTTGTGACTGAGATACTTCACTCATAATAATGTCCTTCTGGGTCACCCATTTTGAATAATATTGCATGAGTTCCTTGTTTTTCAATGCAGCATAGTATTCCATTGTGTGAATATAACAGCTTCTCTAGCCATTCGTTTGTTGATGGGCACTTGGGTTGTTTCCAACTCCTTGCTATTGTGAACAAAGCCACGATAAACATGGGTGTGCATATATCTGCTTGGATGTAAGTTATGGTCTCTTTGGGGTATATTCGCAGTAGTGGAATTGCTGGGTCTAATGATATTTCTATTTGCAACTTTTTTGAGAAAGCACCGTACCACCTTCCACCGTGGTCGCACCATTTTACATTTCCACCAACAGTGAATAAGAGTACCCATTTCTCCACAACCTCATCAGCATTTGTTGCTTGCTGTTCTGTTAAATTTTGCTATTCTTACTGGGATGAGATGATATCTCTGAGTCGTTTGAACATTTTTTCATGTTTGTTAACCATCTGAAAGTCTTCTTTGGTGAAGTGTCTGTTCATATACGGTGCCCACTTTTCAATTGGGTTACTTACCTTTCTCTTGTACAGAAGCCCGGTATAAGCAAAGAACTCCTTAAAAATAGAAAAAGGGTAGGAGGCATCTCACTCCCCTATTTCAAACCCTACTACACTGCTGTGGTGGTGAAGACAGCCTGGTACTGGTACAATGACAGACACATAGATCCATGGGATAGAATTGAGAACCCAGAAATCAGCCCATCTATCTTTGGTCAACTGATTTTTGGCAAAGAGATGAAATCAGTTAAGTGGGGAAATGACAGCCTTTTTAACAAACGGTGTTGGCAAAATTGGAAAACTACCTGCAAAAGATGCAAGCAAGATGCACACCTCACTCCATATACAAAAACCTTCTCCAGGTGGATCATGGACCTAGGACTAAAACCAAGGACTATAAACTTCAATAAAGAAAAGCTTGGAAGAACACTGCAAGTCCTAATCCACAGCATAAACAGTCTTCTAAGTATCCTGAAAAACCTACAATCAGAAGAAAATAAAATAGATGAATGGGACCTTCTAAGAATTAAATCCTTATGCACATCCAAAAACTTCTCCAACAGGGTAGAAAGGGAAGCTGCAGACTGGGAGAAAGTATTTGGTAATGACATGTCAGATAAGAGACTTATATCAATCCTTATTTTATTTAAGAGTCCTTGACCTTCTGCAGCAAGCATTTCAGATCCGTTTCCGTTTCAGCAAGCAAGGTTGTGTCATTTGCATAATGTAGGTTGTTGAGTCTACCTCCAATCCTGATGCCACATTTCTCCTTAAAGCCAAGCTTTTCAAATGATAGGTTCTGCATATTGAATGAAAAGACATGGAGAAGAGATGCATCCCTGATACACTCATTTCCTGATTTTGAACCATGCAGTGTTACCCTGTTCTGTTCTGAGTACTGCTTCCTGGTCCAAGTGTAGGTTTCGCATAAGCACAATCAAATGTTCTGGGATATTCCCATTCTCAAGGTTAGCCATAATTTGTTGTGATCCACACAGTCAAATGCCTTTGCATATTCAATGAAACACAGATAGACATTCTTCTGGTACTCTTTACTTTCTGTCAAGATCCATCTGACATTGGCAGAAATGTTTCCAGTACCACAG